GGCTCGGGGAGCACCGGGGGCGGTGAGGCTCCAGCCCGCTAAACCCAGCACCCCGGCCCGGTTCTGCTCCGCAGAGCGTTAGGCGTATGCCTCGCGTTAAATAAGCGCGACACAAAACATCAGCTAAAATTAAGTCATAAAAACCGATTAAATATCCCTCCGACACAAGATGACGTCTTGCACTGACCAGGTGAAGGTGCAATGTATTTGTATTGGAAAAGTCCAGTTTTGTGTTTTGCACACATCAATTTTAGGCAGAAATATGTTCCTCAGAGTGATAAGTGTATGATAAAATAAAGTCTTCTATTCAAACATTAACCAAAACCGGAAAGCAAAGTTTTAAGAGTGATTTTTTTTTTTGTGCAGGAATTACCATGCCCAGTTAATTTTTGCTGATTGCACTTGAGTTGTACATACTTCAGTGAGATTCTTCTGAAAACATAGGCATAATTAAACAATAAATATTTTAAAAATGCAACATGGTAATTTTAAAAGTACAGTGTTTAAAGGCTAAAGGAGGAATCGTAATTTGTATACGTAAGAGATTTTCGAACTCAAACCTGACAGTTAAACAGTTAATCAAATCCTTGATTTTTACCTAGTTCATTAATTCAGAAGCAATGGCTAGGCTCCCGAGTCAAGGTTCTGTATCTGACGTCTGGATGTGACTTAAAATTCTCAAACCAACAGAGGCTGGGAATACTATAGAGGCTGCAAATTGTATCTTGGAAAGAGATATGACAAAGTCTGCACATCTTTGGTTGCAGTTTCTGCAGACCAGCTGAAGAAGTACTTGACAGGTGCTCCATAACCCCTAGAATGAGGGTTTAAAGGTGTGATGTGAGAACATGTTAATTTAGATGTTTGCGGTACATTTTTAAAAGTCTGGTACAGTCCAGACAAACAGACTTGAACATCTCCATGACCACTCAGATTAAAAGATAGGCCTCCCTTGGGATTTAATCTCATTAGTACTGCCCCTGTTCAGAGGAAGGAGTCTTGCATGAAAATTTTCAAATATTTTAGTTATTAATACTAGTTAATATGCTGTAATAATATTTAGACCAGTTTTCATAAGACCAGCAATGTTTTTTTGGCAGGACTGAAGCGTTAGATCAGCTCACTCTGGTCAGTAAAAATTGCTCCTATACAAACAAGGACCAAAGAAAGCCATTTGTGATTACATAGTATGATTAAAATCTGAATCACCAAGATGGACATTACAGATTACCTGGGATAGACGTTTAGGGGTCACAGAGGAAACAACACAGTAAGTCTAATGTTCAGGCTGCTTACAGAATGGCTTGGTGATAAGAGAGTCTTGTAAAAAAAATCGTGATTCCTGACAAAGTTCTGTGAAGCACTGTGACATGGATACCATGTGATTAGCAAATACTGAGGCATTTAAGCTCTAAGTCTTTTTGAAAAATTATAATCAGATTTGCCCTTTGAAGAGAATGAATACCTCAGAATTTTAATCACAACAGCTTTAGAAATGCATCTGCACTTTTCAAATAATAAATGAAAGAAATTCAAGTCATACTCTTATTTCTTTACACAGGAGGTTCCAACTGTTTTACCATAATATAACATAATTTCCTTTGATGCAGTGACTTCCGTAGTATAAGCATCACAAAATGCTTCCCTGCTAAATACAAGACATTGGCCAAATTCATCAAAATGCAGCCTGAAAAGAGTGAAACTTCAAAATCTGGGCCAAATACACTGGTGACCTAAATGTAAAATATGTGTCAGGACCACATTAAGGATCTTACCTATTCAGCTGCAAAACTAAAGTAGCTCATCTGAAATCCAGCTATAGTTCTCTGATGGAAAAGAAAAGCAGCATCTATCAAAAGGCGGAAGACGAAGTATGTTCCACTTTTAACAGATGCCAGCATAACCTTCAATGCAGCTAGAGGAAAATTTAGCCCAAGCTTAAAGTTTACGTTCCAAAAATCACAGTGGAGCTATGCTTAAATCCAATATACTAATGCTGTGACATCAGTCACAGATTTGAGGTCATTCCTTATGACAAAGTGATATATTAGCACTCAGGCTTTCAGGAAATCATGGGACAACTGACTTCATCAAATTTTGTGGGTGCTAAAAAAAGGTCTCTCTAAAAAGAAGCAGCAATGAATATGAGAAAGAAGGGTAGTATTTAGCTAAGTCTATAGTAGCAATGATATGTATACATATCACCTTTGCATCTCACAGTGCAAATACACAGGCTATAAATATGAAGCAAGTCACCCACATATAATGAGAAATGTAGAAGCTGTTTTTCAGCATTTAGCCACACTATACAGAACTTTAAGGCACTCTGAGAAGCAGGAAATAATTTTGAGCAGAAACTGAAGGAGTAATTCTGGGAAGAAAAAAATTCTAAGTTGGACTTTGGACAGGTTTCAGCTAAAGGCCAGTGGGAACTTGATCTCTACAGGAGATTTTTACACACAATAGTTAAAATGAAAAAGAAAGAAAAATAGTACTTCCAGTCCTAGCCTTACACTTTGATTCAGAAATGACTTCAAGGTGCCACCGAAGGAGTCTTCAGCCACAGATGCTGCAATGTTGCAACGTTCCTCAGCAGTCTCATATCTCAATACTGAGCCAACGTTTTCATGCACTGTTTTCAGGACATGACGGCATCAAACCACAGAGAACTGTGCAATTACTGCGAAAGGTAGCAAGGTAAAGAAAGAGAACACAACATATCTGAGTTAAGATGTATGAGGCCCGATTCTTGCTGATTGTCAGAGCACTGCAAAGGGATATTGGTTTCCCTGAGAATCAGACACCAAGCCCCGTAGGCATTTGCTGGCACTTCCAGTCAGACTTCCAATCCACTCTAAATCTGTACCACAGAACGGCAGAAGAGCCCTGGAAGGAACAATTTCCAGGCTGTTGCTGAATAGCAGCCCTTTAATCTAGACATTTTTGTAAAAGTTGTATCCAACTCCTAGAGAAGCGTGTTCTTGCATCTCTAAGGTAGCCCTGGAAACTCTGTACCCAAGAACTGAGCCAGGCAAGAAAAAGTATGATATTGAGTAAAACTAACACATTATCCATTGATGCAGCAGTGTGAATTACACAGAGCGAAAATTCATCTGTTGAAATCCAGCAGTATGTATGAATAAGAAGTCCTTAACAAATCTTTCACTTTGAAGAAAAAGCATAAAGAAACCCTAAATGGCAGAATCTCCCCCCAAAGAGGATCTGCTAGCAAAAAAAGAACGAATGCCATAGGTAGGGGCTTATTAAAAAATAGATAGTAAAGCATTATACAGTTTTACCCTGATCTTTTACTCATAACTCAAGTGCATAATGTATTTTCATCAGAAAAGGCAAAGAAGAATGGCTTTTACAGCTGCTCAGCATGTGGGCATGGTGTAAGGCAGACAATTCAAATAGAAGACACGTGAAAACATTTTTTTTTCCCATTATGTAACATACAGGGTGTGGGCACTGCTTCTGCAAAGAAAACTATATGCTTCTATTCTCAAACACCAAATGCAAAGCAAACTCACTGCACAGGGCCCTAGATTTTCAAAAACTTACAGTAAGTGGAGTCACGTTCCACTGATTTGAATAATAACAATCGGATAATATTTTGACCAGGAATTGATATATCCAACATTGACAAATCTTCTAGGACTTTATGAACGCTGTTCCACAAAACAGTCGGCAGCACAATCCTGTGGGTCTATGACACTTCAGTACATCCTAGCATGTATAGGCAGACAGAGACCTCAACGGCACTCACATAAGAATCCTAGGATTAGTTAACCCCCCCCTGCCAAATTGTTTTCTATTACCCTTTTTGTAAGGGACTTTCTTTCTCTCTTGCAAGTTTTGATGGAACAAACCCTGCTTCAGCAGACTTTTCCTCCTTTTTCCCTTCTTCCCACGTTTCAAAAAGTCCTTTTCAAATTCTTATTATTTACACTGGTGTCAATGTAGTGTGGTTTTTAATGTTGCAGCTAAAAGAAAGTTTGCTCCTCACTGGGTAGTATCTTTGTATAATGTAGGCACTGTATAATCCATACACTAATCTTCTTAGCATTTTTGTTCTTCCATCTTGGATCCATTTCAAGGCGTCTTGCAAAAGCACATCCCCTGTCCAGAAGTTCACGTGCAGCTAGAGCTGGTCCCTCAATAAAGGGCTTGTGGAGGCCACAGAGTGTTTGGTGGCTTACCATGCGACCAGGTTATGCCACTAAACACGGTGAGACAGGCTGTTTATATGCAGCCCAGTTTATACGCAGAGGTTTTGGGGGGGTTCCCACTCTCTTCTCTATCATGAAAAAAAATGGAGCTGTCACACGCTTCAGTGGCTGTCATCC